CACGACCCTAGGCTGAAGGGTAGCGTGACCTTGACATAGTAAGATTTGTGATGATTATGATTGTGATGTTATTGTGGTTCCTCACACATATGACCAGGGATGAGACGAACCTTGAGTAAGTGATGCTACAAGGACGAGCGTGCCCCTGGCATGGTGTGGGATGAGTGAGACAATTAATACATATCACTTATGTCTAGAGTGGCAAGACCTTGAGGTGGCGTGACCATTGGCATAGTGTTAATTGCAAGACTTGTGATAGACTGGTGTGATTATGAAATTGTGATGTGAATATGATGCATGATTGATAGAATTAGAACGTATGGATATGTTTGTAAAGACTTCAATAATTGATGAGATTATGTTGTGTTTTTCCTTGTGTGCTTTACATATAGGTGTTTTCTTTTCTCACCGTGCAATTGTGGATGTTTTATGTGAGGAAGATCCAGCTATGAGTGGCATCTAGAATTCCAACGGTTGAATTGTGGGTATGCTATGATATTATGACATCGGGGCAGAGGATTTCTAGGACATGGATTTTATATGGATTTGGAGTTGTACTTATTACTTTAAAAACAATTTGTAAACTCTTACATTTTATTTTCCAATGTTCATTTTCAATCATTTTGGATATTGAAGAACATTTGTGAAGGTTTTTAATGTGAACCCTTTTACCAATGTTGAAAAATTTATTTGCTTAATTTAATTACATTATTACGCTTTATGTGTTGGGGTAGTAAGGATGTCACATACAAAACTCTATGCGACATTTAATTTTATGAATTCAGCTCATACTTATAACATTTTCTTAACACATCGTCATAATGTAAATCTCATGCATACATATCATCATCATTTTATTCTAATGTCACACCATTCACAAATGTTTCAAACATTGCACACAACATTCTCAAATCAAACATCAACATCTCATCACATTACGCATAACCATGGTTGTCAATTTCTAGTGATAACTCATAAACTCGTACAAGTTTATGAGATTAGGATAGTTTACTTGTATAACTTGGAAGTAAACTCATTTTTGAGTAATCTCGGTGATCTCACGTGATCTTGTGTAATATCGCGAGATCAGTATGATTTTAAGAGATCATAATTTTTTTTGTTCTCCAAATAAACTAAACGTTCGTTTTGGTTAGGGTTGAGAAGAGAGTTTCATTTCACTATCCCCGTGTTACGAATGATCTCCTCCTCTGTCTTCTCCAAGGAGAAGGCGAACCACCATTCGTTCTCCTCCTATGTCTTCTCCACGGCAAAGGCGCAAACCGCTCTTGTTCTCCTCCGCAAAGGCGACCACTCTTTTCCTCCTCTATCTTCTCCTCCACAAAGGTGTGAATCACTCTTCTCTATGGGCGAACTAGTGTTCTCCTTCGTGAACCACTATTCTCCTCTATGTGTGATCCTTTGTCTTCTCCTCTACGAGTCGTGCGGCTTCTCAAGGCTATTCTTCGGTAGCGTCGCGACGCCTCCTTGAGGCTCTTCCGCAAGCAATGCAACACTACGACTCCAGTTAGGGTTTTTTTTTTATTTGTGATTCATTGTTAACTTTGGAATTTTATTATTAATGTAATTTGCTATTTTACTCTTTAATATGGAGTTAAAATGTTTAATTATTATGCTATTTTTAATTATTTTTATAATTTTTTTATTGAGTAATCTTTTACGGAGTCTCCACGAGATTACATAAACTCTCGAGATTGACAACCTTGCACATAACTATCTCATATCATATCATGTATAATGTTATACTATCAAATATAAAGTTTCTCATGCTATGTATAAACATATCATATTAGGCACATCACACACACAAAAAATCTCATGTTGCATATAGACACAAAGCCTCAAGTACAAGGTAACACGAACATAATCTTGTATCATCATCATAACTCTTTTACCAATAATCCTCTCATTCTTTCTCTTTCTTAAGCATATGTATAAGTTTATCAAACCATCTCAAGATTAAACACTTAAAAAGAAAAGCAACTCACCATTACAACTTTGAATCTGTCTCTCTTTATCTTAAGCTCCTACAACATTGTGAGGTCCAAATGTGATACATGGATTTATACTTATGATATCAAGTTGATCTCAATTTTTTAATAAAGATAATAGAATTACCTACAACTTTTATGTTAATCTTAAGAGTTAATTTTATCATCTACTATTTTTAAAAATTACGAAACCTCAGTATTTAAGCCTAACTTTGATATCTTGACCTTTTCTCACTAATTTGATCACATCTTGAGTTCTAAACCTCTTTTTTGGGTGATTCCAACACCATTATAAAGTTAAAATTCAAGCCTACAACTATTATAAATAGAACGAAACCTAATTTATGTTAGAAAAGAATGGCTCAATCCACGAGGGAGGGGTGAATTGGATTCTATGACACTTAAAAAATTTTCAGAGTTCTAAGGATCTTTATTTCAACTTAAACTTTTCTAATATGAATTCTCAAAGAAGTTTCTTGAAAGACTTGCCAATGGGAATCAGTCCTATATGCTTTCTTGATTAATCTTGAATAAGTTCAATGTTAAGAACAACTAATATGCAATACATTGATTCACTTTAAAACAATGTTATGCATACAAACATATTAATCAAGATCAACCACTTTAACACTCAACCAAGATTTTGCTCAATGTAAAAGATAAGGGTGAGAGAAGAATGCACAAGTATTTTATCCTGGTTCAGCCACTCCACATGTGACCTACATCCAGTCCTCAATCATAACCTGATCAAGATTTATTCCACTATCTCAATGAAGAAGTTTTACAAGCATACCACACATGTATATACTCCTACATTCAAGATAACCACTTTCTTGCCCCCCAAGAAAGCACTTCTTGTAGAAACCCACTACAAGAATTCCTTACCACTTGAGACACCTACTCAAGATTTCCCTTACACTTTACACAAGGAATTAAAGGAACGAATTCACCTAGAAGCTGAACAAATCAGACTGTGAATTCCAAAAACAAATCTTAATCTTCCTCTCCCAAGAATGTAGTGATGATAATGATCTTTTTCAAAGCATTTCATAAAATGTTTTTCTTCTTGGTTTCACAAAGAAAAACACTCCAAGAAGGTCACAAAGACTTCACAATATAGTTTTTCTCTCGTTGATTCCCAATTCATTCTTTGTTCTGAAGTTTCAAAGTGTGAAAGCTATTTATAAAAATTTCAGAACCAGATAATCGATTATTTTAAAGGATAATCGATTATTTTACTCTTCATGATTTCTGGAAATCACTCAAGAACAGAATAATCGATTATTTTGTAGGATAATCGATTATTCCAGAGAGTGCTTCCTGGAATAATCGATTATTTCATAGATAATCGATTATTACAGTAAGGCTCTTTTCACCTGTTGCTGGAATAATTGATTACACTTAATGATAATCGATTATTTTGAGTTAGTTTTCAAAAACTCAATTTTATACTTCAAAAATCTTTTCAAGTATTTTAAGTCATCATGCATCATACTCACTCTCAGTCAATTTAGATTAAAATTAACTCATGCACAAAGCATACACATGCGAAATAAGCTAATCAAAACAATACAATTCATAAGAGCTTATGGACTACTCCTATTACACATTATGATATTCATATCTTCTTCTTGACTAGTTTGTGTCCTTGGTCAGCTTGGACTCTCAGAATCCACCCTTTGTTATCATCAAAACTCTCATTCTCTCTCATACTTCAGAGCTTAGTTGATTCACTACTCCATGAATCTCAACAATTTAGTCATCTAAAAGTCTTTGAAGTGATTACAAGTTTTAGGCGTTATGTTTCATGCACAAACACATGATACTCATATTGTGAGTCACATAATTAGATCATTTCTTAACATTTTTATGTATTTCTTTAGCCTAAAATATAACCCCAAATATATCTAATTTCTAAGCCAACAAAGGAAATTCTATTTTCTTAATCATGTAGAGAGAAATTACCTAAATACTGATATATGTTCATACCATAATTTTATGAATTAAACAAATTGCACAAAAATTCTCAATATGATTAATAAAATAATTCATTTATTGTATTATTAAAGATAAAATAAGAGAAAAATAATTATGATTCATAACTTAGCTAATTATTTACTAAACATCATATACTAAAACGTGATATATTTAAACACTTTTGTGCGATTGACACATGTGTTTTAAACTTTGAAAGTTGATAATATGAATTTGACATGTGTGATTCAAAATAACTATGATTAGATTTAATAATTATAATAATGATTTAATATAAATAGTGACTTGATAATTTGATTCTTCTAAAATAAAAAATGCACTTAATTTAGAGGATAAGGTGTAATAATAATTATTAATTAAAAAATGAATGATGAAGGATTGTAATAAAATCAAATACATATATAATTAAATTTAAAATTAAGTATAATATTTATTATTATTATTTTTAATCAACAATTATTATTATAATTTATTCTTTAAAATAATATCTCTTTACTTTAATTAGTTAAATCCTAATAATATTTTTAATAATAAAGAAGAGAAATATTATTTGTTATGTGATTACTTAAACGGTGAGAAGTTTAAAAGTCGGAGAAGAAAAAAAAAAGATAAATAAAGAGAAAATGAATTTAGAAGTTGTTATAAAGATAAATTAATCTAAAATTTGAAATATTCACTTATATATATATTACATATAATTAATTATAATTATAATAAATTTTTGTATAAATAAATTTGTTGAAAAAGATTTTGAAATAACATTAGTTGGATAAAAAAAACACCTTTTCATACCGTGAATCAACTTTAAGAGGAAATAAGTTATTAAAAAATAATTATATATTTAATTTTTCAAATTTTTGAAAATAACTTATTTTCATAAAAAAAATTATATACAAACTTAAGTTATTCACAAGAAGATTAATTTTACATAAATACTGGTTAAAGTTGAAAAAAAAAATTATAGTCAATTTTCGAATCACACTTATATCTTGCAAGTTCATGTTGTGTTATGTTTGATAACTTGGTTGAGTTGAGCTTAAAGTTGAAAATGAGAAGAGGAACGTTCCACCAATGATCGTTAGGGTTTGGTCGCATCATCATTCTTCATGTCGATCCTGCGCCGATGTGTTTACCCTATCAAGTATCTATCTTTTCTCTTTCCCCTCCATTTTGACTTCCATTTTCATGCATTTGCATATATTCATTGCTTGCATTTCTGTTTCATATAAACCTAAATTCATAAATACTGTTATCTCTAATCATTGTAATTTTCTGTTGTCCTTTGATGTATACTTGAATCCCCCTCTTTTTTTATTCTACTTCTATATTGCATAATTGAAATAAAATGTTAGTAAAAGAAATTTTGTGGTGAAAATTTCAGATTTTCAGCCATGTATAATTACGGTTGTTATTGTTCCCTTATTCATAGGAAACAAGGACATAGCGTGGAGCTTTCAGGATTATTATTATGTGGGATAAAAGATGATACCCTGAGTTATTTCAGTGGTGAAAACCTTGGTGGGTGTTTTTTTTTTGATAAGCCACCTTGGTGGGTGTTACCCTGCTCTGTAGTGCAAAATGGCTTTGTTTAAGAGAGAAAAGTTACCATACTTCACCCTTTGTTGGAAAATTCTTTCTGGGTAGTTGTGGGTTGTCTTCACATGTTAATGAAAAAAGTTGCAATGAAAAAATGTTTTGAAAGAAAAATTTCTGGAAATTGAGAAAACCCTTTCAGCTAAGCTTACTGAGGATATTACCATGGAGGAAGAAGTCGATCAGGAATCTAATCCAGAACCTAGACGCCTTGATGATCCTTTGTCAGAATCTGAGAATGAACTTTACCTCAGCCACCTTTAAAGAGAAAGGCTTCTTTGGAGTTGTTAAGAACCATTATGGACAGTCCAGCTTGCTACATTCCCAGTATTCTGGAAAGATTTGTTGAAGCAGAGGAGGATTTGAGCCATTCAGAGGCTTCAAAGATTGTATTTATTCTCTGGAAGCATCATATGTATTACAAGGCATTGCAGGTGCTTTCACTTATTTTTCTTAGGTCCCTTAAGCCAAGTTTTCTTTGAATTTTATAAGTGGATTCATAATGGTAATTGGTTAATCAAAATGCTAGTGTGAGGTTTTGTTCTTCTATTATTCTTTCAAATGTGTATATATTTTTAAATGATTTGTTTGTGACCTGATATTGGAGCTACGAGTAATATATGTTTTCAAGGGTTACTAATTCATGCAATGGTTCAGTGATGTACTTAATAAATTAAGCCTTTCTTGCAAGTCTATGTTACCTATGTTTGAACTTCCATCTGCTGTTATCTGTTTTGCAGATTTCGGAATGGTTGGAGACCACTAAACAATTTGAGTTCAGTGAAAATGACTATGCTTCTCGTCTTGATTTAATAGCCAAGGTCCAGGGAGTTGATGTGGCAGAAAAGTACATGAAGAATGTTCCACACTCTTCCAGAGGTAAATTATTGAACATAATTCTTTTAGTAAACTGTGTCCGGTGTGGCAACCGGGAAAATTCAGAGGCAATTTTTGAAAAAATGACAACTTTAGGTATACCAATCCCCAAACGTCCTGTTAGTTCACTTTTTTATCTCTTGAAAGTGATCAAACAAGATGAAAATAAGATAAAAATTAAAATTAAAATTTAAAATTAAAATTGTATCCTACCCTAAATATTATTAAATATCAATGATCATGTCATATTGTGTTATGTTTAACGTTACCATTTTAACATAAATATTTGGTGAGGAGATCAAAATTATAGATTTAGTAGAATTTGGAAAGACTAAAATTGTGGAATTAAAAGTTAAAAAACTAAACTGCTATTTAATTTTAATTTCAATCAAAAGAATAAAAAAAAAAACTGAACTGTAAAATGGCGCTAATAAAAATAGATAGCAAATAGCAGTTAATGATTTTATTATCTTTTTTATATATTAGTATAAAAGTATAAATATAATTCTTAATCTATATTATTTATAGTAATATATAAATAAAATATTCCTTATATATTGATAATCTCCCATCTTGATTTCCCACTCAATCTCAGACAAATTTTTTCAAAAAAAAAAAGGAAATTAGCATGCATTAAGTAATTACAACAAATTATAAATTCAAATCATTTAGCCGGAAACAATATAGATTCATGATGTGTTATGAATAATAATCGGTGGCTTAATTAGTGGATGTCAATATTCACTGTTAATTCTATATATTATTTCTTTTTTATGTAATTGCTCAGTTTTTACATTTACTTATAAATAGACTAGTTTTCTTTTAAAGACAATACATGAGTCAGATTCTTTTCTCCATTTCATATTGTGTTGTTTGTTCTCTCTACTTTCTCTTTCTTTTCATAACATGATGAAAATTATTCGTTAGGAATATTTTAGCCGTAAACATTATAAATTCACAATTCCCAAAAAATCAACGTATTAAAGTCATTCACAAAAATTAAGACATGGGCTAAGTAATCACAACCAATGATATATTTAAACCATTTAGCCATAAATATTATAAATTCATGTATGTTGTGATACTTTTTACTTATAAAACTTGCAGACAATTGTTATTCAATATTCATCCTCTTAATTCATTTTCCTTTTCTCCTTTTTGAATTCCACTATCTTGTTAATATGACCTCTTCTATGTGTTTAATATGTAATATGTAATATTTTGAAATCGTTAAACATTATTATTTAAGTTAATATTATTTTGATTTTGCTATTTGATTTTCTTATCTAAAACTATCAATAGAAAAAAATTGTATAGGTCTAAGTTGAGGTAAGGGACAAACTACTTTTTATTTAAATTTGCAAATGATTTTTAAGTATATTGTACATCAAACGAGTAAAACAAATAATTATCTAAAATAGAAAAAACTAATTATGTTGAACCAATGCCTTGCACTTAGGATTTAATATTGTATAGCAAGGTTGCATATATTATCACCAAATGTATTGATAATTTATGCAAAACAATTGTAACAAAATAAAATATACAAAATGTATAAAAATAAATAACTAAATATCAACAATAACAACTACCAGATGTAATGAATATTATGTTGTTGTTTCATCAATGTTGCCAATATAAAATGGAGTCACAACGTGTAGAAATATTGAAGCTCAAGTCACATTTCTTTATAATAATGGTGAGTTTATTTTTTACAAATGAGTCTTAAACAAATAACATAATATTGAAGCTCAAGATTCTGTTCTTCGAGTTCCTCTCTAGCTGCCTCCTGTTTGCCTTCATCTTCAAATCACAATTATACGGCCATATTACAAGTGAGGTAACCCTAGAGTATTTTAGAAGAAACCCTAACCCTCTCTCGTACGTGTAGCCCATTAATAAAAGCCCAACTAATTCACCTCTCATTTTTTAATTTAAAAAGATAATTGCTAATAATATCTTATCCTGATTCCCTCACAACATATTATCCCCATTTAATTAATTAATTAAAAAATATTTTATTAATTTATCATGAAAAAAATGGGATGTTACATTACAAATTTATAAATTGATGGTAGTTTAGATCATTTCACTTATTAGTTTAATGGGTCAATCTATAAGTCAAAGGGCCAATCCAACCTTTGGCCATTTGGCTTGTCAAGCTTAGTAGGCTAAGCCAAAAGGTCTGATTCTATTTTGGTCATCCTTTTTAAGACCTAGTCTAACCTTATTTGTAGGCTAGCCAGGTTGACCCTTCAAGATAGACTCAAATTGACAACTCTAGGTACAATGAGTCACTAGTACAAAAATGACTTTTAAAATCGGGGTTTTAAAATCGGTCATCAGATAACCGATTTTAAAAGTGGTGCGGTGACAATTTTGTAAATAATGGCATTACTTTTAAAATCGGCTACGTTATGACCGATTTTAAAAGTCTCTGACGCTACTTTTAAAATCGGCTCCTGAACAGCCGATTTTAAAAGT